TGCCATGAGGAGACAAATTTAGAAACAGTATTATCTCTTATTAAGGCTGTTAGCTTCACCAGTTACCCCGTCACCTTTAAGAGGGAAGAGAAGCAACTTTGTTCTGCTCTGCTTTGCAGCCCCACCTGGCATCCTGAAAAAATGGAAGAGGTTTCTGTTCCTCTGCACCAAAGCCTCTTCCATATTCTGCACATACTACTGAAAAAGGGTAGGCATCTCTTCATAGCCCTTCTGTGGCATGAAAGCCTCCAACTCCTCATCTTCTCCAGCAGCACCCAGTGATGTTGGAATAGGCACACCTGACAATTGGCAAGGGATAGGCAGGAGACATGCTTCAAAGTGACCTAAAGTGCCTCCAGGATGTAAAACGTAATGCCTCTTTGCTGCCATGCGGAGAATCGCACCTCCTCTATAGCATGAAGCTCTCCATCGAGGTGAGCTAACTCTCCTTGCACAGACACAGAAGATAATAATATAACCACTTTTTCCTCAGAGCTTATTAGTAGTTTTGGTTTTACTCCAGTTCAAACACTCTACAACGTTCTAGTATACTATACTTACTCTTTCTCATTTTTCACAAAAGATTTCTACTTCTTAATTATACATGCTAACTATACTTCATGCAAAGCTTCTTGCAGGATGATCTTAAAAGCAGGAGGCTTTCAGCAGATAAGATTAATTTTTGACCTTTTCACAACATATGCACAACATATTATGGCCTTGTTTAACAATCTGCATGTGTCCTGAACTCTTTCAGCATTGAATACTCAAAATAAGATTTTACCATTTGCAGCACTTCAAACTCCAGAATCTAAAAAATTAAGTTTTACCTCGACTTCCCTGCTGAAAATTCTCAGATGCAGCCTTGGGCACCGAGGAGTTTGTTTGGCTTCCAGTCAACCTGCTGTTTAATTCATCCGTAAATGCCTAATGAGAGAAGAGGAAAAACACAATTAACAGACCACAGAATGCAAATTTGAGGTAGTGCTTCACAATGCTGGAGCAGAAATGAAACGGCTGTACGTGCATATGCTTACAGACAGCCAGGAACAGCTTTTGAAGCAGTTAGACAAACCATGCAGAAGATGCAGTTATTTTAATAACCTGAAAAGAGATACACTGTTTGTATTCCTGCAAAGCCTCTTGTTTGAATGCTTTGTATAAGTACATTTGGATCTTTTTCCTACAATTGTGACCATATGGTTAAAAGAAACAGCCACAGATCTCTAAGAGAAAAATAAACAATATAGGGCAGGTTGCAGAACAGAGATGAAACTTGGAGAGGAACTACTTTCTATCCAAAACAGAACTTTCTTGAAAGAGGTTCTCCAAAGGCAACTTCTACTGTATTGTCATGATGTTCAAGGTGCAAGGCAGTAAAGCAGCAGTAAAACCTTTATGTTTTTTGAGGCAGGCATGAGACATGCTGAGGAACCCTGAGACTGTTCCCAGCAGAATTAGGACCTTTCAGAACCATCTTAAGTATGAAATGCCTTTCAAAAAAACTGCTGAGAAATAAAAAATACCTGGATGGTGGTGGTATCACTGGGATGCAGCACAAAATGAACTTCTTTAAGGGACTTCGGATTTTCTGTCCGACTGAATTTGAGAAGTTCATCAAACATCAGTTTAGCCACAAGCTGCTTGGGATAGCCTAAGTTCCCAGTTCCAATTGCTGGGATGGTGATGGACTTCAGAGAGAGTTGTTCAGTGACTTTCAGACACTCCTCAATGATGTCCTCTAGGATCTGGGGATCACACAAAAACAATTGCCTTAGAATACGTTTAAATGATTAGTCTACAATTAAATATGCCTCAGTGTTAATCAAACTAACTGCAAGAGTAAAAAAATGTTTAGAAGACAGATATAGCTGCATTCATTAGGAAAAAGGATATATCCGTACGTTAACTTGCCACCACCTTGTGCTGTCATGGTAGACTATCCCAAACTAACAGCTGATGCAGACAGCCAAAACCAAGAGGATGAAAGTAGGTATGTGAGCAAGATCCAGGAAAAGTTCTCTACAATTTTCTTAGTCACTTGACATCTCTTTCCTTCTTAGGGTCACCTATGTTACAAAGGCAGCTATTGATTTATATTAAATTATGAAACCTGAATAGTGTGGGATAGCATATAAAGAACTATGAATAAAGGTTGTTCAGCTTGTGCTTAAAATCCTACTCACTTATGAAACTTAGACATAGTTGTATACAGGTAACTTACTTACTTACAGGTTGCTTACTGACTGCCCTGTTTAATGACTGTTTGAAATTATGACAGCACTGAAAAAGTAACTTTATGACCAGACCTCACACTTACGATTGTCGCAATGTCCTTGCGGTCATATGATCAAGATTCAGGTGCTTCACAACTGGCGGGCATTTATGACCATTGCAGCGTCCCATGGTCACATGATTGCCATTTGTGCACTTCACAGCTGGCTTCCAACAAGCAGATTCAATGGAGAAGCCGGTAGTAAAATGGCAAGTCATGGTTATGTGATATCTTGCTTAACAACCGTATCACTTAGTGACAGAGTTGCCGATCCCAATTGTGGTTGTTAAGCAAGGACTACCTGTACTGTCCAGAGTTGTTTGACTGGGGTGATATATAAAGTCTGTACATATCTATGTATGTGCGTGTATATATACAGTACATATGTATGTGTGTGTACACACATTTCTCATTGCAACAGCACCACTGAACAGTTGTGCAAAAATGCATTAAAGGCTATCAAAATCTTTAGTGATGGTCAGGGATCAATGCACCAAGTTATGTATTCAAGGTGTATCAAAAAGATCCTACCTTACCTTGCTTTCTGAATTCTTTCTTTGATTCCAAGCAGGTAAAATGGCATGAAGCACATGAGAGCAGCCCAGAGCATAACCACTGGTTTTGAGCAAACAGCCCTCTTTGATGTCTTTCCCTTGACCTTCTTGGGTTAATTCCACTTGGAGTTCTGCTCCTGCTTTGGCCAGAAGAGCCTTGGAAAGTGGTCCTCTGTCAAGCTGCAAATCTCTGGCAACACTATTGACAATCACATCAGTCTAAAATGACATGTCAGAATAGGTGAGAAAAACTAAAAGGACTCAAACCCACACAAACTGTACAAAACAAACTGTACAAAACAAACAAATGTTATTGTTGTTAGCCACCCAGAGTCACTGGTCTGAGATGGGCAGCTATATAAATTGAATAAATAAACAAACACACACAGGCACAAACAACTATTGAGCATAACTAAAAATATCTAATCACAATTATCTAATATTGAATTTCAATATTCAATGGGCATCTCTGAAGTTTTATCAATCATGAGGAAGAATATCTTCCACTGTTATCAGTTGCCAGCTCTTACCTACCAACCCATCTACCTACTCACCTATCCATACCTTCTATATAATATTCAGCCATTCCCAATTTTTTCTCCCAGCACAGATATGCTGTTGATTCAAATGCACTGTCCTATACAGTATACCATTTTTCTAGCAGCTTATGTTCAAAGATCTTTTTAGTCAATAGGTGTGGATTGTTGGAACTAAAAGAACAGGTAAAGGGAGTGTCAAGTTGCGTTGTGCAGCATTAGTCTACCTCAAAGAGGATACAAATAAAGAGACCTCATGGGCACATAGAACTTACTAAAGTTTTAATTGTTCCCTCCATCTGTACCACCATATACTTCTGAACAAGTCTTGTATATAACAAGCATTTGCACAACAGTTTGCTAGAGTTCCTCTCCATCTTCCTTCACGCTTTCTCATATTTCTGGAACACTACTGGCTGCTTAACTGTAAGCTAACTATTAATCCAGGCTTAGATGAACCATCAGACCTTGTTGCATTAAAAAAAAAATGTGTATATACTATGATTAAAGCACACCACATTAATTACATATATCTTCTCAATTCTATCTTAAAATAATCATAGCCTACTTACTGCTGTCTCTTCAATTCCTTTCTTCTGAAGCAGTATTTTTAGGCCTTCAGCTGTCATCAGCACTTCAGGTCCTGGTAGGCTTTCTGCAGCAGGATGCTTAGCTTTGGAAAACAAGTCTGTTTTAGAAGCTGAGGGCCCAAACACTTCATTCAGGGTTTCAGAAAAAGCTTGAACAGTATCTTTTCTGATATCCACAAGGTAAATCTGTTTTAGGCAGCTGTTCTCAGAAAGATCTTCTACGCTTTCCTTGATGGCTGTTACAATTGAATGGGTACACTGTTTTAATGGAAACCCAAAAACTCCAGAACTTATGGCAGGAATGGCTATGGAGCGATGTTTGCAACTATCTGCTAGCTTTAAACTCTCCCTCACAGACTGCTTTAACAGCTGTATACATTTTTCTTTTTCAGCACTGTTCCACCTTGGCCCAATAGCATGAATCACCTGTTTACATGGCAATTTCCCAGCACTTGTGATAGTTGCACAACCAGTCTTGAAGAGTCCATATTGCCTCACATGGTCATCACACTCTTTTTGTAGCTCTGGACCAGCTGCGCTCAGGAGCACTTTTGCTAGACCACCAATATGCTTCAACTCTTCATTTGATGCGTTGACTATAACATCAGTAGAACACTGGGTCAAGTCAGCTTTCTGAACAATTACTACAATACCATTTCTTAGCTTAACTTCATAGCATGACTGTTGCTCCTCTCCATAGCCATTCCCATCTTCTCCAGTTTCTTCAACTTTTATGCCTTCCTGAATCTTGATCAAACAGTTAAATCTTTGTTTTGCACCACTAATGTACAACTCTTCTTGTTCTTTGAACAATGCCTTGGCCCCTGGTTTATCAATGACTACATTAACAGTGTGGAGATCAGACAATATGTTATGAAAAACCTCGACTCCCTTCAGAACTGCAACTCTGGGTCCTTCAAGGCAAATCACTTTGTCGCTTGTCCATATACCAAAATGTATTTTTACACCTTGCTTATCTAAGTTAATCCAGTTTTGGCGCTTTTCCTGTTGTACATACATTACAACAGCAGTAGACTTTGTTTTGATATTTCTTTGAATATATGTATTGTTGTCAACAAAATCAGAGAGCTTCTGATGGACAATGAGCACTTCTTTGAAATAACCTGCAACGACTATTTGACCTTCCAGTTCCTGAATTATGATAGCTTCACCTGAACAATTATATGACTTGTACAACTGTTCTGTTAGTTCCATCCACTCTTTCTTTTTCGTAATTGTGCAGTCCTCTAGTTCAATAGTTTGGAAAGTCAGATCTTTGTTTAGTTCCTCCTCAGCTCTGTGAAGGTCCTGAAGAATTCCTCCAATCAGTTGAACAGACTCATTATTGAACTCATAAAAGGCATTTATCTTTTTGGTCCAGAATAAGAGCTGAGACAGAGACACATTATCAACAAGTTGTAGAAAAAGAAGAATATTAGAATGAACATCAACAGGTTTCTGGACCATACAGGATATTCTTTCAAGGATGTCACTTTTCACTTTAAAAACTTCAGCAACTAGGCCACGCAAAGTTATATGTTCTTTGGAAGCATCATAAGCAATCTTTAGCTCTGGAAACTCTGAGCAAATACTCTCTTGTAGTCCAGAATTGCATAAAATGGTGTATTTGCAAGCAGTAACTGATATTGTTTCCTGTATTGTTTGTCTCTCTCTCTCTATCTTTTTAACAGCATTTTCTATGAGCATCTTCATTTCCTGCTCTGTATCATTTACACTGCCTGCTGCCCCCGCCAAAACAACTTCTTTCTTTGAAGCATCTTGAAAGATCAAAATGTCATCTTTTACTAGACTATTTCTTATGGCTTCCCACAGTTCAGAATTAATTTCACACTTGACAACTTTCTGCTGTGATAGGATCTGTGTAAGATGGGTTAAAGCTTCTTCTTTCCAGGTCTTCACCAAGGATCGTTTTTTCTTTGACAAGTCACGTGAAGGATGTACCATGATTTCTGGGTTTGCACAGAGCTCAGAAGGCCATTTGATTTCACAACAATGGCCTGCCATTTCATGTGTTATTTCCTGAAGCAATCGATAATTCTGCTTTAAAAACTGCCAGTGGTAGGGGTCAATAGATACTTGGAATGGGTCTGGCATCTTAATTTGTGCTCTTTCCTTCCCATAAACAGCAGCTCCCAAAGATTTGTAGTACGGATAAACAGAAACTGGCACGTTCATAAGAGAATGCTTTTGCTGCAAGATGGTAGTTACAACTTTAAAAAATAAAAAGGGGAGGAGAACACAATTAGAAAAAAAGCTTCACAGAACCTATCCTGCAACTTTTAGTTCAAATACATTTGAATTTATTTATTATAGGGTACTGAGCAACCATAATTGTAAGCTTTCTATAGTTCTAAAACCTCTACCCGCTTTCAAAAAGAGGGCACTGGTAGGATTTAGGGAGAAAGAGGTAGAAGTATCATTGTCCTCAGGCAGTTACAGGCTAGAGGTCCACACAGAAGCAAAGAGCAAAATTCCCTGTGCTCCAAAACCCTGGGAGAACTGGAATCAGGAAGGTAAAGTTGTTAAGGAAAGCAGAAGCAGAAGTATCAGAGGAATTTTATTTCCTTCCAGTGTTCCTTTGCCCAGTTGGGGAATCTCATCCTTACATTCCCTGTTTTTCTAATCTTCCATCTCTTTGTTTGTTTGTTTGGCTTGTCTGCTTACAAGCCACTGCCACTTAGATCTAAGCATCCTGTTATCTTCTTCAACTAGCTTGTTTCTGAAGTACTGACTTTACTGTAGTTTTTAAAATAAACACTATTTATTCTTTGTTACTCCAGTGTCAGGTTTACACCAGACATTCCAAAATCACTCGGGCTGGGTAAGCCTAATTAAAAGGGAAAACTGGAGCCACTTATTTGAAGTTTTGTTCTGCCCCATTCAGATTCCAAGTCATGGAGGACACTTCCCCATTGAAGAATGGCTGGAGGCCGCTTAGCTACCTGCCCCAGATGGAACTTTTTACATGGAGAGAACAGTTACGCTCAAATAGCCCAGAACTCAGCTAGAGGGGGTGGAGAGTAGAGATTAGGAATGGATCTGCAGGCTTCTGTATATTATGGTCTTTCATAAACAGTGGTTAAGAACAGAGATGTGGGCTTTCCAGAAAAAAAGTGAATTGAAAATTTTTCCTACACAAATGAGTAAGATTCCAATTAAGATATTCAGTTCAATGCCTGTCTCTCTTACTTCCTTGCAGCTTTCTCCTGCTGCTGCTTCCTTCTCCTCCCACCCAACCATTGGAACCAGTCGGGGGGAGCCATAATATCCCTGCTTTTCCATTTTCAGGACAACTGCTTGTAAAGCAAATACCATAAAACTTTGCAGCTGCCAAGCTTCCCTGAAGTGGAAAGTACTGACCTTGGAAAAAATTCTGGCCCACATCACTGATTAAGAACATTAAAAAAAGCCCTCCACCTGTGCTGGATTCAACAAAAAGCCTACCTAGTTTATTATTTTATTTCCACAAGGATCCATAAACAAAAGATAATGTTATGACTTCCTCCCACTTGTTACCCAGCAAATGTCTTGAGATGCCAACTCTTCTGAAACAGGTGAAATATAGCCCCTTATCCTCCATAAATGTGCCCAGTACCTTTTTGTTCCATCACCACACATTAAAGCAAGCATCAGGCCCAAGCATAACTATTTACTTTTTACAGTCATCTGATACTTGGCACTCACCAAACTAAACTATATTTAGAGAGTGTTTAACACCACACATTACCTTTGCCATCCTGAAATGTAATCATGGCAGAATTGTCTTCAGGAATGTAGGTAGTTTCCAGCACCACCCCACCACCATGCTTCTTGCTTTCAAAATAGATAATAATATAGTCTTTAGAAATGCCAGGAGGAATATTTTCTACCAGGATGCTTTCAGTTATTTCCAAAGGTCGTGCTGAAATCTTTTGTTGCTTAACCCTATGGTACTGGTTGAATTCTTTAATAAATGTGCCTGTTTCTACAAACAAAATTGAAGCATAAACACAGAGAAAAAGAATGTTAGATAATGTCACTGATTACTTAATCCCTATTCATTCAATTTCTTCACGTAAAACTTGCTTCTCCTGTTTGGCAGGTATGCTGAATTGCAGTCTATTTGCCTAGTATATCCCTAGATGTAATCCCACCTTGTCTTCCCCATCTTTTCTCCTTGCCAATTAATCTATCAGAAGAAACCTTGATCCTTCTTATAGATCAAGATTATAGCAGTTTCACAATATCTTACTTTAGTCACTTCTCTGATTCCCATGGCCAGGATAGGCAGAAGTGAAAAGTGGTCGGAGTTCCTTACTAAAGTTATTTTCAGTACGTAATGTATTATATAACACACATTTTTCAACATGGGAAGGAATTTTCAACTCCTTTGCACTTATTTTCCCCCAAAAAGTAGAGAATTGCAACTTTTTGGCTCAGTTTTGATGTTGAAATACTGTGAAACTTTAAAGGCTGCAAAAAAGAGTCTCAATGGCCCTAAGCGACTACTAGCCTGGGGAAGACCTACCCTGGTCTTCTAATGTACAAATGGAGCCCTACAATACGTCTTTAGATCCTCACTGAAAACCTCTCTCTTCACCCAGACTTTCCCTGTGTGAGTGCTGAATTGTATGAGTGCTAAACTAATGGTTGTATTTTGGTATCCTTCCAGTTTCTTTTTTAATGAATATTGTTTAATCCATTGTTTTATTATATTTTTATTGTAAAGTGTTCAACATGTGTTCCATAAAGCATATTTTGCAAATGAAATCTACTTCTTTTTAGTTTGATTCACATGCAAGTATAATCAACTGAAGTTTGCTTACATTCATTTACTAATATTTCCCTAATTTAGTGAAACCTAAGAAGCCACCTTAGATCAGGTCAGACCAATAATCCATTTAAGTCAGTGTTTCCTGCACTTATTGGTCACAGCACTTCACAACTTCTCTCCCAGATCCATCTGGAAATACCAACCGCTGAACTTAGGAATGCCACATATGATAAAGTCTGAGCTTATTACAAAGGCTATCAGATGTTGGCTGCAAAAACCCAGACAATCACCAGTTCTATGGATCTTTGCTGCCCTCTGGTATCACCTGGATTTTTGCCAACCAGATATGGTAGCCCTAACCACTACCAAACAAAACCTGTCCTACAGAGATAATCATAGCCGCTTCCAGAATCAAATACAGTGGATGCAACTATTTAGATAAAATATATCTGTCTTCCAATAGACCCTCCATTCTCTCTCAGAGGATTCAAATCCATTTGGGATTAACTATCTTGTGACTTTTCCACATTGACTGATGGCTGTTACATTATTAATGGGGTAGTCAATCCTGGCTTGAGGCTTCCATCTTTTACATTCTTGAATAAAACAAGGATTCTTACAGAATGCTTATTTCAGATGTTTTCATCTGGCCTTTCTATTATCACAGGACTATTATAGAAAACCAGAGAGTGCCATGAGTTAATATTGCAGAGGAAACTCACAGGATTGCATGAGAATCAACCATTGCCTCCTTGTTTCTTCATCCTACCAATTCTAAGGAATATAACCTTAAAAATTCACAGCCATCTATACAGGCCACTCTGAATGCCTACAGTTTTCTTCTGTGTTATCTTAAAACTCTTAGCTATGCAAGAATTCATGATTTAATGAATTTAATTCATTATTTAATTAATTCATTATTTAATTAAAGATTTAATGATTAAATCAGTCTTTTCTTCATAAAGTCCCAAAGGTCCTTCTTTTTGCTACATCTTGTTCAATGAAAAGATCTAAAGAGTTTGAAAATGTTATGGCTGTTAATAAGGTATAATGATTTTATTAATTTCTTATTCCAGATACTCTCTTACCAATAGGCTTGATAAAAGTAATGACAGCAGCATTGCTCTCAGGCACCATTTCCACATCAAAATCTCTGTCCTCTTCTGAGAGACCACTCACAGTCTCTACCAACAGAACAAGCATACACTTAATTGTAGTCTCTTTCACATTCTCCAGAACCACTAGAGAAGATGATGTCTCAGACTGATCTTGCTTCAATTCCTGCTGGTATTTTCTGACATGAAGTACAATTTTATTTACTTGGTGATGATCTCTTCGCAAAACTTCGTGAGCATCTAGTTGAAGAGAAAGACACTTTAAAAAGCTAATATTCCATAAGCTTTAGAAAAATACCTAACCAAAGTCTTTCATTCCCAAAAACTTGAAGTTCTGAATACTTGTAGATTTCCTTCCCCTTTATCCAATGTTGCTTCACCCAAGATTATAGCTTAAATCTCACTTCCAATCTCTAGCATGAAGTGAGCAACCAGAGACTGGAGACTGCACACAACTCTCAGTCTCATTCTTTTGAAGTCCCAAGGGCCTACTGCAACACACTGTACATGGGGCTTCCTTGGAGGTGGCCCTGAAGATGTACAAAATGTTGTGGCTACACTTGGGTGCTAAGTCAGCAAGCATACACAGGGAAGGGTCAAGTGTAATAGCTAGTACCTGTGTATAAGGCAGGCAGTCCCTTCTGGAAGATATCCTTAAGCTCACCCTGTTGTTGCCCCTTTTTACTGTACCCTTCTTTTCTCTCATGGTATGATTTCATAGAATGATGTTTTTTTCTCCCACCTCCTTGTGAACTTAGCATCGTCTGAAGTGTAGTTAAGTATGTGTTTGTTATACAAAGATGGTATAATTCTTTAAGATGGGCAGCTGGCTCAAGAAGGGAGGGGGAAAGGAGAGAAAGAAGAGCTGAGACCAGTTAAAACTAGCACTCACAAAACTGTCTCATAATTTCTATTCTTTACCATGCCTTTTGCTTCACAGAATAACTCATACCATGCAACAAGATGCCTGACAGGTCAACCCTCTCAGACCCGAATAATACCTAATTGGAAGTTGATGCGCAAGTTGAGAATAAGCTTCCAGGCCTAATTCAAAATGCTGGTTATTATCTTTAAAGTCCTGTACGGTTCAGCATGAGGAACACCTTGCCAAAGCCAAATCTGCCCACCTGGCTTGATTATCAAGAGGGCCTGCGGGAGGGCTCCTTCCTTGCAGGATTCATGAGGTGTGGGTCAGGCACAGCAGGGTTTGCAGGGGAAGAGTCAAAACAATCAAGATGGCAGGGGAGTCATTATGCAAGCCCCACCTCCTTTGTACATGGGCTGATACCCATGTGTACAAAAGGGGCAGGGTTTGTGCTGGGATGGCCCCCTTCTGAGGATCTCATTGGTCAGGTGAGAAGCCCTCTCAGTGGTGGCTCCCAATTCATGGAACTTGTAGAGGCCCCTACTCCACAAGTAGGTCAAAAACAAAACCATGTAGTACTGCTTCAGTAGGTGTCTGGCCATCAGGCTAGTTTAACTCTGACATCCAGGATATATTGGTTGATTTACAGATGGCATTTATTACTTGTATTGAATTTTTCATGTGGTGCATTTGGTTTTCATCTTATTGTACCCCACCCATAGTTCTATAAAAGAACTAAATAAATGTAAAATATCAGCAGTCAAATCTCCTGCCATTTTCCATTTCCTGTAATGGAAGCCCTAAAACAACTTAACACAGTTTAAAAACTAAGATCATCCCTCCTCACAATTCAGCTGCCAGCAGTTGTCAAACTGGTAGCCAGTTTTGATGATGTTAAAAGAGAACTTGAAAGATGGATGGAGGATAAGGATGTCAATGGCTACTAATGTTGAGCCAGTTTGTGTAGCAGTTCAGATGCTGGCCTAGAAAACGGGGGGCGCTGAGTTCTAGGCCTTCCTTGAGCATGAAAGCCAACTGGGTGACTTTGGGCCAGTTACTCTCTCTTGGCTCAACCCACCTCACAGGGTTGTTGTTGTGGGGAAAATAGGAGGCAGGGGTATTAGGTATGTTCACCACCTTGAGTTATATATTAAAAAACACGATACAAAAATAAGAAAAAAAATAAATCCTGTGGCAAGACCTTTAACACAATCAAACAACATCTTTCTATCCCAT